CACTTTGTCGTACCACGACAGCTGCAAAGACCTGTTATTTCCCCACTGTGGGATCAATAAAAAGTTTTTCTTATCTTACTTTTCCCCATCTTTTGCACCAAATTAATCTGAGGAGTTCACCAGCCCTGCTGTTTAACTCCAAGTTTTTCTTCATAAGGAAGACTAGCAAATGGCTTTGCCAAAATCCGGTCCACAACGTTCAAACTGCCATTACGTGCAGCTTGTTACTGGTGCGAGGCTAGTGTGAAGTGTGTCTGCCTGGGAGTGCTTTGTGACAGTGGAGGGGCTCAGCAGCAGCCGCTGGACAAAAGAAGTCAGAAAGAGTGATAGAAGTCCGTCTCCAAACATAAGCAGCTACAAAACAACCACCAGAAATAGAAGCTCGATTTGTCGCCAGTCGTTTTTAACAAAGAAAATGCTGCTAAAAGGGTTAAGAAAGTCTCCGGTTCAACTCAGAACAGAAACGTAAGTAAAAACTGCTCCCACGGAATGTTTACACCAAAAGATCACTGATTCGCTCATTTCGCTGTCAATCAAAAAGGGATTCAGGTCATCCAATCATCATGCAGAAGCTGAGCGYCCGAGCCAGCCGAGGCCAGCCCACTGCCCCATAGACCCCCAGAGACGCTRAGCATCCGTGGGCGGGACAAAGCCCAGCATTTATCCAATGACTCGTCTCGTTTCGCTGCATGCTTTGCGTCACTGATGAACTCTGTGGAAGCTCAGCGTCCTCACTGTTTAAAGCACTGTGAAGCTGCGGGAATGAGTGACAGAAAAGCTGTGTCGTCGTTACCAGTGATAAGAAGCTGATTCTGTACAAAAGTTGAGGACATTGTAGTGCATATTTAGTTATTGACATGAACACACAACAGTATATATTTGATCTTTTTTTTTACATTTTAAGGGAAGCTGCGCTTCCCTTGCAGTCTTAGAGCAATCGCCTCTGTAATGCTTGTAGGACCTGCACTTTGTTTGAGCAAACCCTGAAAGACTGTTATGTGCTGAGTCTACCAGTTCAATTAGTCCCAACCAGACTCAGCACATTCTGCAGGGGGAGCCCCCCAGATATGAGTCACATTAGATCCCGTTTCAAAACAAGTCTTCAGGAGAACTGCTTATTTTGTTGTAAAAAAWGTAAAACTAATAATTTTTTTTGAGATTTATGATAAGTGAGCAATTTGGGTATTTCACAAACGATGACAAATGACCAAAGTTTTCTTTGAACGCTGTGAAACRGACAGAAATTTACATACAAAAATAATATGGCCACATGACGTTCCTCTACATTTATTCCTAAAGCAGGTTTTTTCCTTCTCCATGAAAATAAGTTTCCATTCAATGTTTTATTACCTGGTGAGGTCCTCGATGTCAACCAGCATGGCGTCTTGCTCCATGTGGAGTTCATCCCGKATCAGTAGCAACTGCACAAGCTCCTCATTCAGACCTGGGGCCATATATGAACAYGTTAAACTCTGACAAAAAACTTTCCAAACTGTATAGAAATACTCACAACACCACAAAAACCACAGTACTCTCATTAGCCTTTCAGTGTAGATGAAATATTTCCGATAACTGCCAAATACCTAAAGTGACCTGAGAGTCATGCGTAAATGTTTCAGCTCTGACAATTAGTCACAGTTGCTTTTAAAAATTTTTTCAACATGTTTTTCTTCTATTGTTTCTTCAGTTTTTTTTTTCCAGAAAACACAGAGCTCATCTCACAGAGATATTTTTGAGGGGAAAGAAACCTGTGTTGGTTTAAAAGCTCGCTCATGATTTTAGAGTCATGGGGATTTTTGTGAGCTGTTTAATGTAAGATGAGAGATTATTCATCCTTGAGTACCAGGAGCTGTGCAGAGCAGTGACCGTAAACACTGAGGGGAAGCTGCTGACTGGTACAGCTCTGAGGTGACTAATGTATATAAAAGTACTTTCACATCCACCGAGAAAGGGTTAAGGGGTCAGAATGTATGTGCGTGTGCTTCCCCATCCACTCTTTTGCTCATTTCTGCAAATGAAAGTAGAGGTCAGAGCATTGTGTGTGTGTGTTTGGTCAACTCACTCTCAATCTGGGAGTGCAGGTCATTAACTATAACCTGCAGCTGCCCCAGCGTCATGTCTCTCAGGTCGGTGGGTTTCAGACTTCTTTTCATTAGACACTCGCTGATGTGAGGCATGTGTGGCAGCTGAAGAGAGAAAAAAAAACATGTTAGCTGCAGGGTTTTGCAGAAACTGTTTGTATTTGAAAACGAAGAAGCTCAACTGTGTGTTTAGATAGCAAACATTTCCTCATTTCAATCAAAGTTCTTTATCTGAAATGATGTCATTGTTGCAATAAGACTGTATGGTGTCCAATCCTGGTCCAAGAGGGCCACTATCCTGCATGTTTCTGTTGTTTCCCTGCTTCAACACACCTGCTTTAGTTGTATCTAAAGACAGTTTGGTTGTTATTTCTAATAACACTGTTGTTATTTCTATTTTAAAGRGGAAATATCATGTAAAATCAACTTTTTTGAGTTTTTTTTTTATCATGTTACAATATTATACTCTCATAAAAAACATGCTCAAAGCCTTGCTCTGACTCATTCATGCATGTTTGAGA